CATGAGTTACTTAACTTGAAGTGTTAAGTTTTATTAAAGGGATCCATGATTAGTTGTAACATTAGACTTTATTTGATAAACATATATTTTAATTGTAAAATAAAGACTGTAAAATACTGTAGGATGTTTAGTTTTGTAAATTTTTAAAAATATATTTTAACACGGACGGAGTCATTTTATTTCCACACAAAGCATTCTGGGTAAATGATGACGTGGATAGGTCCTCGGTGCGAGGCTGCTAGCGAGCTATATCCACCCTGAAGGTTAATCTTGGACAATATCTGATGATCGACTCTTTTAAATGAAACCAGAGAGCGTTGACAGAGAGGAGAAGGTAGAAATGACTCAGCCTGGAACTGAAAATATGGATGGAGGACAACAGAGCTGCTTCATGGAAGAAGAACCTCAGATTAGCCTGTTAGCCTTTGTGCTAGCACCAACACTATACTGCCTTATATGTATTAGCTCGGTGCTAGCGCGACAAGCTAAACTGAGGTCCTCCATCCATATTTTCAGTTACAGACTGAGTCATTTTTGTGTTCCCCTCTCTGTCATGTGGATGGAGGACCTCAGTGACGAGAGGAGAATGTGTAGCGCTGAGCTAATACATATATATGGTGATAGCATCGGGGCTAACGCTAAAGCTAACAGGCCAAGCTGAGGTTGTTCTTCCATGAAGCAGCTCTGTTGTCCTCCATCCATATTTTCAGTTCCAGGCTGAGTCATTTCTACCTTCTCCTCTCTGTCAACGCTCTCTGGTTTCATTTAAAAGAGTCGATCATCAGATATTGTCCAAGATTAACCTTCAGGGTGGATATAGCTCGCTAGCAGCCTCGCACCGAGGACCTATCCACGCCATCATTTACCCAGAATGCTTTGCGTGTAAATAAAATGGCTCCGTCCGTGTTAAAATATGTTTTTAAACTTTACAAAACTAAACATCCTACAGTATTTTTAGTCTTTCTTTTACAGTTAAAATAAATGTTTATCAAATAAAGTCTAATGTTACAACTAATCAGGGATCCCTTTAAGTGTTATATAAGACTTAACAGTGGGCGGAGCTTATTTAACACTGTCCAGTGTTGAGACACTGAGGAAATCAACACTGTGAATTAACACCACAGGAAGTCAGTTTACTCAGAAAGAGTTAAAATAACATGAGGAATTAAATCGACTCTGAAGACTTCAACACTGACATTTCAACACTGCTTTTTACTGTGGACCATCTCCAATCTGGCACAAAAAAACAGACAACATCTCTGGAAGTGCACACGTTGAGGAAGAAATGAAACTCCACGTCTCGTGACACTTGATTCAAATCATCTCGCGACAGGAAATGACAGAGTTATCGTCGTCCTGGTCGAGCCTTGTAAATAATAGTTGTGAGATCTTGCAAAATGTGTTTGTTATCAGTGCTTGTGTTGACAACACCCCCCGGCCCGCCCCGGGTGGCACCCCTGCCGTACAGGCATGATGACTTGAACAATCAGATTGGTAGAGTCTGTGCGCAGCTGTTGGCCCAGATGAAGGGAGGGTCCCGGGTTTGTCTCTGCATACGTGCCTGTGTGTGCATACGTGCCTCGCTGTGGGAGCACACTCGTACATGCTCCACTGGATTTGTTTCCAAATGTCTGAATCCCTGACTGGTACCAGAGCTGGTATGTTGCTCAGCTGCAGCCTTCTATTCAATCATCTCCATCCACCCGCAGCCACGACTCCGGAGTTCTGAGCTATTTTCTAATCATCTTCAAAAAAGGAAGAAAAAAAAATAAAACAACAACAGCCGAGAGGATCGGCCGGCCACTTAGAATAACTTAAAGGCTTGTTCTGTTCCTCGGCCAGGCCCCGTGCGCTCTCCTGTGACTGGCATGTTTACCGAACGCTGTAATGGCATCATTTTCTGCTAGGCTGCTCCCCTCAGCAAAGCAGAACTGTTTGTTTTATTTCAAACTGGCAAGAAGTTACACAAGAAAGTCAGACTGAAGCAGGACAGAAGGCATCTCTGGGTGCGAGTTTCCCAACCGACAAAGGTTATTTTGGGCACAAACTGGGAACGTCGAATGGTTCTCTGCAGGTTTGATCCAACCCAACACCTGAAATATGTCCTTAGTGATTTTTTTTCAACTTCTGGAGCAAATTTAAGAAAACGTAGATTAGGTAAACCTGAAAAACATTTGATTTGTGTTGGTTCTTGTGTTTTTATGAACTGAGGGAGGTAAATACAGCAAATGTGAAACAGGTGTAGGCCTAATGGAGAGAAATCAAATGACGTATTTTAGTGGCCCCTAACAGAAAAGTGGTTCAAACCAAATGGATGGATGTTTACTACGGAGCTCACGACGGGACATGGGGGGACTTTTTTCTTTTGCGTTCCCACGCAATACTTTTGCGTTACCTAGCAGTACTTTTGCGTTACCTCGCAATATCTTTGCGTTACCTCGCAATACTTTTGCATTACCTCGCAATACTTTTGCATTACTTCGCAATATCTTTGCGTTACCTCGCAATATCTTTGCATTACCTCGCAATACTTTTGCGTTACCTTGCAATACTTTTGCATTACCTCGCAATATCTTTGCATTACCTCGCAATACTTTTGCGTTACCTTGCAATACTTTTGCATTACCTCGCAATACCCTTGTGTTACCTTGCAATACTTTTGCATTACCTCACAATACCCTTGTGTTACCTTGCAATACTTTTGCGTTCCCTCGCAATACTTTTGTGTTACCTCGCAATACTTTTGCGTTACCTCACAATATCTTTGCGTTACCCCTCAATACTTTTGCGTTACCTCACAATATCTTTG